GTATGCCATTTCATTTGACTTATGCACTGCTCTTATGGACCACTTGTATTTTAGATTATTGCTTCCGCACTTGTGAGCCCCCTATATCTATACTCGGATTGTGTGTGAAATTTGGAAGTTGGCCTTCGGTAATCACAGATTACTGGCCATCACGGCACCAAACTACTAGGGGCAGTTTGGGGTCGTGACATGGGTAATGGAAAGGGAGTCCCTTACACTCGGGCTACCTTGCTCCCATCTTTGTGGGATCGTTGCGGTAAACTGGTGTCTCTGCGCCTGTTATCAGCTCCAACCAGTAAGCCTTGGAACCTGCTATCAGTGCCAAGCTAGTGAGCTTCGGGGCCTGCTATCAGTGACTAGTTAAAAATGAGTTTGGGGCCTACTATCAGCCCTAGGCTAGTAATGCCTTTGGGAAGCTTCTCCCAAAGGCTACTATCACCTTGGCGGGGTGTTCCCTCTGCAAGTTAGTTGCTGCGGCCGTAGTTGTTGCGGCATTCATTTCCTGTGGCAAGTTCAAATGGTAGAATAATATTAGGAATGGTGGTGCTGAGACAAAGTACCTCCGCAACTTGACCACTGCAAGTGTTGCCTCCGCAACATAATTGCTTCGGTTTTCTCTGTCCCTTAGCAATTTCATATGGCGACGGAACCGACAATAGTAGGAATAGCAGTTGTATCAACAATACTTGGAATGGCGGCGCTGACAAACTACCTCCACAACTTGACCGCTGCAAGTGTTGCCTCCGCAACTTAGTTGCTTCAGTTTTCTCTTTCCTTCAGCAACTTCAAATGGCGGCGGAACTGACAATATTGGGAATGGCGGCGCTGAGGCCTCAGCAACATGACTGCTGCAAGTGTTGCCTCTACAACTTCACTTAGGCATTTTCCTTCATGGAGTCTATTCAGACCCTTGGCAGGTCGAACTTGCTTCGACCTACTATTGGCCCACTTTCTTGGGCTTTTAGCCCATGCTCCTTTAGTCATTCCTGGTCGCCTTAAAGGGGCGACCTCACCACTTAGGTCCATACTTAATTTGAAGTTTAATTTCTGACCCTCTACAGTGATCAACCCTTATCTCCTATTAACAAACAATGTTGTGGTCATACTGCAAATCAAAAATACTCATTGGATGGTGATACTTATCACATAATAACAATGTTACATCCAATATTTACTTAGACTCAGGCCAACATTGTTAGATTTGGTTTGGAAGACCCATATTTTATCTGAAATAACAGCAAAGCTCACAACTTTTCCATTACCTAAGGCGGTTTTCGTGCCAATTCCACCGTTAAAACTTTCGAATGTGCATTTTTTTCATTTTTTAAATAAAATTTCATTGGACAATAATATTATTTAGAAATTTCAGTTTTTGATGTCATTTGTTTTGAAAAGTTTATATTACTTTCTTGTATCAAATTTGAGCCTAAATCCTCTTTTTTTTTTTTTTTTTGGGGGAATTTTTTGTTTTTTTTTTTTTTTTTTTTTTTTTTTTTTTCCTAAATTTTTTTTTTGGAATGGGTGGATACCAACTTGAGCACCTTACTCGATTTGATAATAGTCTTGGATAGAGATTCAAACTGTGTTTAGATCATAAATTTTAGTAAGAATCTGAAAAGCGAAAGAGAAAAGATAGATGAAATGTAACTATATTTTATTCACATTTTACATAACTTTACTTGTTTTTTTTTTTTTTGGGGTAAAATTCATTTACCTCCTTGTGATTTCGGAGCACTTTACCTCCTTATGGTTTAAATATAATCAAAATGTTCCCATGTAATTTTGGATTAAAATGTCATTGTTAATTTTTCCATTCAAACTAACAAAAAGCGTATGACACACACCATTCTTTAAAGTGAGCTTAATTTTCTTTAAAAAAAAAAAAAAACAAAACAAAACAAAGCTTGAAAGTAACACAATAAAAAGACAATTTTATCCCCCATTTTCTCCCAACCTAAAATTAGATTAAGATGTTAATTAAAATTAAATTAAACTAAAATATAATTAAAATTTGATCTAAAATATAAAATATAATTAAGGATTTATTTAAAATTTAATTAAATTAAAATATATATTAAATAATAATTAGAATTGATCTAAAAAATAATTAAATTAAAATTAGATTAAGATGTTAGGAATTACAATAAATAATTAAGAATTTATGATTAATTGTGATCTATAAAACATAATTCGATTAAAATTTTAACAATTATTATAAATAATTAAGGATTTAGGATTAATTGTGATCTTAAAAATAATTAAATTAAAATTAGCTTAAAAAGTTAAGAATTACATTAAATAATTAAGAATTTATAATTAATTGTGATTTAATTGAATTAATATTAGAAATTAAAAATTACGTATATGAGAGAAAAGAGAGAAAGAAAATAACAAAAAAAAGCATAGAGTTCGAGGATATTATAATCGTTTCACATCTATAGTTAATAGTGTTAAAGGTTAAGCTTTTGTTCGAAATCACATTGGGCTTTTCTGACTATATTGAGCCATAGAAAGGTAAAATGTTTCAGGCTCAAACCATATGGGTTATAATGATATTTTCTACTCAAATCTATGATCCAAACACAGACTTTGGAGATTATGAAACTAATAGACTTAAGATGGTAAATGCACCATTTAGGCTATATTTAGATCATGGATTTAAGTAGAGATTTGAAAATAAAAGCGAAAATGTGAATAAAATGTACATATAATTATATTTCATTCACATTTCACTTACATTTTTGTTCTTTTCAAATTTTTATTCAAATTTATAATCAAAACAAAGTGCCGAAATTGGCAAATAACAAGATGAATGGGAAATCGAAACAAGCAACCATGCTCAAGACTCAAAAAACTTGCTAGGAAAACTTGTAAGGCAAAAGGTGATAGAAATGTAACTTAACTTAATCACAAAATTTTGAAGGCAAATGCTAGCAAATGTTTTCATGACATTAGTAATATTGAGAATGTATAAAAAGTGTAATGAAAAAGTGGAAAAAGTTGTAAATTATTTTAAAATTCATAAAAAGTGTATTGAATTAATAATAAATGTTTCAGGATCTACATATATTTTGTTTTTTCTTATATCTTAGGAGTACTTGTTAGACCCAACTTTAAATTGGAATGTTGAACAAGATTTTTTGGAACATTTTTTGGATGGAACTAATATTTTTAAATGATGAGAACATCTCAAAACAGCCAACCAAATCATTGAAAAAATCAAACAACATTTCTATATATGAACTCAACCAGTATCAAAGGAGAAAATCTAGACTAGAGTTGTCATAGACCTTTGCTAATTTGATCATAACATAATATTATCGTTATATTATTGTGTAGATGGAATAACTCTATTGTCATAAATGTCATATATATATATACACTCCAACAAAAAAGATCTATGGCGATGAAAACGCATGATGAAAAAATATTGTCTCTAAATATATTTGTTTTAGTGATGAAAATAAGATTTCGCCTCCAATTGTATTATTTTTAGAGACGAAAATCAAATTTCGTCACCAAATGCGTAAAAACAAATAAAATAATAGGTGACGAAAATTTTATTCGTCTCTAAATTTTATTTTTTGTCACAAAACAATTTCCCACCCTTGGAAAATCTGGGGGAAGATTTGGCGCCATTTTGGAGACGAAATTTTCATCACCATTGTAAAAAAATTTAGAGAGGAAATAATTTCGTCTCCAAATGTATTTTTTTAGAAAGGAAAACTAAATTTCGTCACCAAATGCTTAAAATCAATAAAAAAATAAAATTGAACCAAGAGATAGATATCTCTCTATTTAGATTTTGATGTTTGATCGTTATTAAAAAAATCGTTGAATCGTTATTTTAATGTTGTTTTGATGATAATATTGTGATGTTTAGTTTTATTTTTTAAAAAAATAAATCTGATTTTTTATGTTTGATGAATAATGTTTGATATTTGATAAATAATCCTAATGATTAATGGTTGAAAATATGTGTTTGATGTTTGATGAATAATGTTTGATATTTGATAAATAATCCTGACGTTGAATAATGTTTGATGACGTTGGTGATGTTAAAAAATGTTTGAATAATGTTGGTGATGTTGAATAATGTTTGATGTTTGATGAATAATGTTTGATATAAAAAGGTCTATAGTAAGTTTTTAGAGAAATAGGACCTATTAGTCCAACAAAAAATAATCGGAATTAAATGAGTTAACATTTCTAAATTTGAGATTTATTGGTGCTTTTCCCAAAATATTTTATAATTTAAACAGAGAGTGTGTTTGTAATTTACCCATTAATTTGCTTTGCCTTTTCCTTTTGAAACAAAGCCCTAGCTAATTCGTTCTTATTTTACATCTCTCTCTCTCTCACACACAAACCCTCATCCCATGGCTCCAAAAGCCTTTCATCTTCGACATCGAAACTTGCCCCCACATCTTATCCTCCATCTCCGGCACCAAGGACCTCCAAATGGTTAACCTAACCCTCTGTGTCCTCTCTCGCCCCGAGTTCTCTCAACTCCCCCGAATCTTACATCTCTCTCTCTCTCTCTCACACAAACCCTCATCCCATGGCTCCAAAAGCCTTTCATCTTCGACATCGAAACTTGCCCCCACATCTTATCCTCCATCTCCGGCACCAAGGACCTCCAAATGGTTAACCTAACCCTCTGTGTCCTCTCTCGCCCCGAGTTCTCTCAACTCCCCCGAATCTTCCAAACCCTAGATCTCGAATACGACGATAAAGTCCTTCCTTCGATCGGCAACGAAGTTCTCAAGGCCGTCGCCATTCAATTCAGCGCCGATCAGCTCCTCACTGAGCGTCCCAGCGTCTCTGCATTGGTTCGCGAGAGCTTGGTTCGTCGTGCTAAGGATTTCAACATCATTCTTGATGACGTTGCGATCACGCACTTGTTGTATGGGGCTAAGTTCTCCAAGGCCGTGGAGCAGAAGTAGGTGGCGCAGCAGGAGGCTGAGTTCTCCAAGGCCATGGAGCAGAAGTAGGTGTCACATGAATCTCTCTCTCTCTCACTCTCTCTCTCTCTCTCTATAAAGACATCTGAATCGAACCTTTTCATTTGTGAATTGATCAAGTATTTTTATTCTATTTGATTCTTAATTGTTTTATATATCTATGTATAAAATATGCGACTCTATATGTACATCTAAATTTACGTCTTTTGAATTTTGGTGTTCTACTTCAAAATTAGAAAACCTATTTTATTGATTTTTATTTATTTATGCCTGTATTTTAGGAAATTTAGTCAATCTCCTCTTGTATGAATCTATAGTTATTGCTTTTGATTCACAGATAAGAGGAATTGAAGCTAGGGTTTCATAAACTCTTAGTCTGATTACCACTGTTTAGATTCAAAATTATAGCTGTAAAATGGAATTGAATAATCGATGGGATTAAAAACACAGTTCAATTGTTATTGAAATTGGAAGTCTATCAGATATTCTGGATGGTTCTAGAACTTCCATTCTGCTAATGTATCCCTTGTGCACTTGATGCTAAATTCCTATTCTTCTAATGTATCCCATTCTGCTTATGTATATTACCCTATTTTGTTTATTTTATAGGCTGCTATTGTTCCAATTGGTTTGCTGCTTGGTTCAACCTAAACTTCATCTATATTCTTCCATGGTCATAGGTTGTGACACTTCATGAATTAAATTCTCTGATTTGTGGCACACAGAACACAAACTTTGGTTTTATTGTAAGGGTCTTTGTTTGAGTGAGCTTTTTGAATTTTTTATTTTATTTTTTAAATTTTTTTCACATATGGTGAAATAAATGGGGAAAAGTTTCATTAATTTTGGATGATTTTCTCTTTTGGGGGGTGGAAATAATTTTTGAAAATTCAAAATTATATTTTGTGGTGTTTTTTATTTATTTATCAAGCTACTCTGTTAATATTCTAATAAGTCCCTTGTTTGGTTATGGTATAGATGTATTTGTCCCAAAATGCAGGTTGCTGAATTTGTTCATAGCAGTGACAGATTTTCTTGTTGGAAATAAGCTCTCTGGCTAATTTTGCGCTGTCATATTTTTGGTTATCTTTACCTTTTGGCAGATTTGGTACTCCGTTCCTAAGCCAGAAGCTCACAAGGAAACTCCCTTAAGTGAATTTTTTAATGTAAGATTTCACAGTCCTACTCAAAAAAGAGCTTAGTTATGTTTCTATCTATTTGTTGAGAACGAATTATTATGCAAGTATATAATTTTATATCTATTTGTTGAGAATGAATGATTATGCATCTGTATAAAATTCTTATCATTGATTTAATTGCAGGTTGAAGTTGTGGCTCTTTCTAGTTATGAAGAGAAAGAAGAGCAATTTAAAGAGCAGGTACACTTGTGCAGAGTACCAGACTGATGTAAAATTATGTCGCTTATTATTATGAGTAAAGAATATAGAATTATAGAAGAACTCTGGCACACTAGACAAAATCATGTGTTTACCTGTTTTATAGCTTTATGTAATACAAAATTATAGAAGTTCAAAATTTTTATTTTTATATTTTTTTGAAATAATCCCATTTCAAATCTTATTTATGTATTTATTTATTTATTTTTTGCATTTCAGTACATTTTTTTTAAAAAATTTCTTGGAAATTCAAATTGAATTAGTTCATATTTTCTAAATACCTTATTCTGCGGCATTGAATTCTCTTAATTATTTCTTTACTATCCTTGTGAGAGGCTAAAAGACAAAAAAAGGGAGTGTGAATATCAATTTACTACACAATATCGAACTCTTGTTGTGAATTGAATTGCCTAAATCATTTTTCTTATCTTCTGCTTCTTTATGCAATTGACATGATAAGCTGATGACAAATCAATTATTGTACAATCTGTAGCATAACCAAGGACTCAGCATCCGGATTCTTCTGATGTACAGGTAAATCATCTTGGAACACCAAAGAGCTATTTACGATGATCATATCATTCTTCCTTACCATTGCATCTATAAGCCTTTGTTGGGCCAATTTAGTGAAGATATGTATGCTTGAACATAAACAATAGATTAGATCCTCGATTGCTTTTGGGAAAGATTTGAACCTGTCTTGGTCCTCATGTTCCTCTTGGAAATTATGCTACATTTATCCTACAGTTTTACGAGTTTTCAAGGAACTCCGTTGCTTTGCTTGTAAAATTTCTATATCTAAACGGTCCTACATTGGTTTTGCTGTTACCTCATGTGCACTTGAACTTGAAAGTCCTTTGCAAAAGTTTGAGTTGATTCCTAGTGCATCATGAAGCTTGGTTTAACACTATAGGTCTTTGAACATGTTTACCTTTGGCCTAAGCACAACTTTAAGTAAAAAATAATAGGACAAATGCTACTTAATCAAGTATATGACTAAACCTTGAAGTACACATGTCAAGTCAACGTTAAAAATTTCATGAGGTTTCATTTAGCAGCATTGTTAGATTTGGTTCAACTTGGCTTTCTAGTACTACACTTAAAAAAAGAAAAAAAGAAAGAAAAAAAAAAAATAAGAAGGTTGTGGTACATGGCATTAAATGATGGGGATTAGTAGAGCATTTGAAAACCGAATGGTGTTAATAGATTGATTAAATTAAAAGCTTGAATTGTCCACATGGTTCAATAAAAGTGATGTGATCTAGTTAGTGCCTGTTGAAATGTAGACATCAGTTTTAGATTGAGGAAAGTGCCTACACCTAAATATTTGGTTTTGTAGGCTCAAGCTTTTAACTGATGCAATGTATGTCTTCATTAGAAAACCTATTTCAATTGTGTAAGAACAATCACTAACTAATGTGAATAATAGGATGCAAATGAAAACAAAACATCGATGTGAATCAAAATCAATCCCGGTTAGGGTATACAACTTGGTGCCTGGGGAACATCTCAAACATCTCAGAAGGGACTATTGTAACTTGTAAAAACTTACAGAATTAGCACGGGACTCCCGGTTGAAAACTAAGTCAAAAAATGCACTTTTCTAATACTTAGGCTTGAAAACAGGCTATCCGGGGGCCAAAATTGTGTAACAGCCATGAGAAGGCCCGGGGAACACCCTGAACACCTCGGGAGGGACCAATGTAAATTGTGGAAACTTACGGAACTAGTACGGGACTCCCGGTTTGAAAACTAAGTCGAAAAATGCATTTTTCCAACACTTAAGCTTGAAAATAGGCCATCAGGGGGCCAAAATAGTGTAACAACCACGAGAAGGTCCGGGGAACACCTCAAACATCTCGGGAGGGACCAATGTAAGTTGTGAAAACTTACGGAACTAGCACGAGATTCCCGGTTTGAAAACTAAATCAAAAAATGTACTTTTCCAACATTTAGGTTTGAAAATAGACCATCGGGGGCCAAATCCGTGTAACAGCCATGAGAAAGCCTAGGGAACACCTCAAACATCTCGGGAGGGACCAATGTAAGTTGTGAAACTTACGGAACTAGCACGGGATTCCTAGTTTGAAAACTAAGTCAAAAAATGCACTTTTCCAACACTTAGGCTTGAAAATAGGCCATCGGGGGCCAAAATCGTGTAACAGCCATGAGAAGGCTAGGGACACCTCAAACACCTCGGGAGGGACCAATGTAAGTTGTGAAAACTTACGGAACTAGCACGGGACTTCCGGTTTGAAAACTAAGTCAAAAAAATGTACTTTCCCAACACTTAAGCTTGAAAATAGGTCATCGGGCTCCAAAATCGTGAAACAACCTCGAGAAAGCCCGAGGAACACCTCAAACATCTCGGAAGGGACCATTGTAACTTGTGCAAACTTACGAAACTAGCACGGGGCTGCTGGTTTGAAAACTAAGTCGAAAAATTTATTTTTTCAATACTTAGGCTTGAAAATAGGCATTCGAGGGTCAAAATTATGTAACAGCCACGAGAAAGCCCAGGGAACACCTCAAACACTACGGGAGGGATCAATGTAAGTTGTGAAAACTTATGGAACTAGCACGAGACTCCCGGTTTGAAAATTAAGTCAACAAATGCACTTTTCCAACACTTAAGCTTGAAAATAGCTTATCGGGGGCTAAAATCGTTAAACAACCACGAGAAGGCTCGGGGAACACCTCAAACACTTTGGAAGCGACCATTATAACTTGTGTAAACTTACGGAACTAGCATAGGATTCCCGGTTTGAAAACTAAGTCCAAAAATTCATTTTTCCAACACTTAAGCTTGTAAATAGACCATCGGGGGCCAAAATTGTGTAACAGGCTCGGGAAGGCCGGGGAACACCTCAAGCATCTCGGGAGGGACCAATGTAAGTTGTGAAAACTTACGGAACTAGCATGGGGACTCCCAATTTGAAAATTATGTCGAAAAATGAATGTTAAATTGTATATTTAATTAATAAGATTATAATTGTCTTAACTTTTTTTTTTTTTTGTATGTTTTGTTTTGTTGTAGATTCGAGATTAGATATGGACATGTTTGCTAATCTGGAGAGCAGAAACTAGCTCATTTTGTGTTTTTGTTCATATTACCTTATGTATTTTGGTTGCATTGTAAATTTTATATTTTTGTGGGTATTACAGGACATGTTTGGTAATCCGCGGTTGATATTATATTTTTGTGGATCTTAGTAGACATGTTTTTTGTGGATATTAGGAGACGTGTTTGGTAATCTGCATGCGGTTGATGTTGTATTTTTGTGAATATTAGGAGACATGTTTTTTGTGGATATTAGGAGACATGTTTGGTAATTCGCATGCAGTTGATATTGTATTTTTGTGGATGTTGTACTGAAATTTGACCGTGGTGTTTATGAAAATGAACAAATTTTTTTATTGATTTGTAATAGATATTTTATTAAACATGTTATGGAAATACGCTGAGAATTTTTAGTGAAAAGAAAATTTTTAAATTGAAAATAGTACTCCCATTTTAAAAAAAATTAATTATTATTAGCGATGAAAAAAAAAATGTCGCTATTAGTTTTCAAGCATCATGACGAATAATTTTGTCATTAATAATATAGTAACAAACAAATAATTTCGTCATATTTGTTGAATATTTCGTCGTTAAATTGAAATATTGGGTGACAATGTTTTGTTATCGAAGAATTTTTTTTTGTGCTCATTTTAGTGACGAATTTTTTTGTCACCTTAATCTATATTGTTGGTGAGGAAAAATTTCGTCACTAAAATCTATTTAGTGATGAAACATTTCGGTGCCAAAACAATTAAAATAAAATATTATCTAATTCTAGTGACAAAATTGATATTATAGAGGGTGAAAAATGCAACATTTGGAGATGAAAAATTTCGTCGCTAAAAATGAAAAATAGGTGACAAATATTTTTTGCCACCAGGTACTTTCAGCGACAACGTATATGCGACAATCGTGGTGACAAATTTTTCGTCACAAATCACTTTGGTGACGAAAATTTAATGTTCAGAAACAATGCATTTTTTGTTGTAGTGATAAATTCAATAAACAAAAAAATTACCAATTTTGATGATATCTTACCAAGGTCTAAGTGATAATTTCTAGATTTGTTTTATAGAACAAAGACTAGAAATTGGCATTTTTCCTGCCGTGCCTATGATGTCTGTGGTCGAGTTTTGCTAATTTCCACCTTCCACTCCCGTTGTCAAAAGAATAAATAAATTAAATTTAAAAATATTTCCCCCCCCCCCCCAAAAAAAAATTTACATGTTATTTAATGGTTTTCTCAATAATTTCTTGAAATTTTAAATGAAGAATATTGGGGATAAAAAGTAGGAAACATTACATTTCAGTCCTAGTTTAAAAAAAATAAAAAAATTACGAATTCATAAAAAAAGTTCATGATTAAAATTTATAAAATTTATCAATGATTGGTAATTATTAATTATTTATGACTGATGTAATATTTTTCCCAAATAGTAAATAGTGTGAAATGTGGTTGTAATTCCGGATGGTCATTTTAACTTGTTCCATGAGGACTTGTCCCTACTAGATGTACCCAATCTATTGAAGAGATGGGGTGGGAGCGTGTTTTTTTTTCCATCCAAAGTGAAGGTAGGGTTGAGGCTGGGGTGGGAGATCCACCATCCAATCCAAACCCGACCCTATAATTAATATATATTATATATAATAAAAGATTATAAGTTTAACTATTCAACTTAAAATTGGGACTTATCACAAATTAGAAAATGCATTCTATTACGTATTTTTGTGATGAATATTACGTATTTTTCTGATAAAAGTTATGATAATTTATGATTCAGAAATAAAATTAAGCATTTTATGATAGTGTTACACATTTTTTTATACAAATATTTTCTAAGTACAAAATGTGTAACAATATCATAAAATATATTATATTATCACAAAAATGCATAACTCCATTTTTTAATCATAATTTTTTATCAAAAAAATATATTATCACAAAAATGCATAACTCCATTTCTGAATCATAATTTTTTTATCAAAAAAAATATAATATTTATCACAGAAATACATTTGCCCCCCTGGTTTGGGCTTCTTTTTTTGTTTTATTTATACCAAATATAAAGAAAATATATATTTTTTAAATTATAAAAATATTATTTAGAGTGAAATGTCAATGGCATTTTTAAAATTATGAGAACAATAATGGTTGTTTTGATTAAAAATTAAAAGATTACGATAAGTCATATTATTATCTATGAAAAATTTATAATTTTTTTTAATGTAACAGTGATATCTATTATTGTTGGCATGCAAGTATAATTAATCTTACTATGAAGATATATAATTTATTGGATTGTTAGTTACATTTGACAGGTGAGGTTCATCCTTCACGTGTTTCTTTATTATTGGTTGATGATATCACATGTCAATGATGACTTGGTATTACCATTATATTGAATTCTTACTCAAATTTTGTATAAAAAAATTACTTTATCATTATATAATTTATTTTAAGACTTATATTCATAACTTTTTTTTTTATATTATCCAAGATACATTAGTTATGAATAACATTATTTTTTGATCTTTCTCCAAATCAATCATAAAAATTTATGTATTGTTGGCATGCAAGTATAATTAATCTTACTATGAAGATATATAATTTATTGGGTTGTTAGTTACATTTGACATGTGAGGTTCATCCTCCACGTGTTTCTTTATTATTGGTTGATCATATCACATGTCAATGATGACTTGGTATTACCATTATATTGAATTCTTACTCAAATTTTGTATAAAAAAATTACTTTATCATTATATAATTTATTTTAAGACTTATATTCATAACTTTTTTTTTTATATTATCCAAGATACATTAGTTATGAATAACATTATTTTTTGATCTTTCTCCAAATCAATCATAAAAATTTATGTAAAAATTTTTTGTAAAAAATTTCAATATTATAATTAATAAGTGCCCTTTCTGATTTAATTTCCTGACTCCGCCATTGATTATAACTAGGGGTGAGCATGGTTCGGATTGGACTGGATTGGGATAAAATTAGAACCAATCCGTTATCTACGGTTCCTGAAAAATTGGAACCAATCCAATCCGTTTAAATCATGGAAACAATCCGAACCAATCCATTTAAATACGGATTGGATCGGTTTAGGACCACGGATTCACATAATTAAATAACAAAAAAATATATATAACACTTTAATTTCTTAAATAAGATGATGTGACTTAAATAGGATAGTGACTTTTTGACTTTTTGAATTTTTTTGAGGATGCCAAACTTGGCCTAACTTGCAAAAGTAGACAGTTCTTTCAAACTTTTACTTTTCTCAATAGAGGCTTGCAACTCTCTCTATCTATGTGTATCAGACTTCTCACTCATTTTCCCCGTTCAGGAATGAGTTCTTTTAGTCAATTTTTTTTTTTATTTATAGTTATTTTAATTTGATTACAAAAATTTATTTGGAATAATGATTGAGTTTTTTGTAATTGATATGATAGTTGTAAGAGAAAAAAAAAATAATTATAATTTGAATGTGACATTTTAACTTATTTTGTCTTATTGAATAAAATTTTTTTTTTTGTCCTCATTAACTATTTTAACCACTAAATTTTGGCTTTATTAGTTATTCTATTAGGTTGAAGTAACAACTTTGGTTTAGAAAGGGCGTTTGGCATGTGATTTTTTTGATTAAAATAATTTAAAAAATTAAAATATCAATTGCATCACTATTTCTATTTTTTGCACATTTTTTTTTTTGTGAAAGTATCAACTAAAATAGTCAATTCTCAAACGAGCTCTTAGTCAGATGAACAAGGTGAGTTCAGATGTACAGGAAGATCGGATTACGGATTTCACGGATTCCTTGCTCAGCCCTAATTATAACCAACATCACAAAAACACATGATGAGATGCTATAGAATTTTCCAAAAGACTAAGGACTTTTCTTCTATTTATAAAAGTCTGAAAGTTTCATAATACTAACTTGCAAAAGTAGACAGTTCTTTCAAACTTTTACTTTTCTCAATAGAGGCTTGCAACTCTCTCTATCAATGTGTATCAGACTTCTCACTCATTTTCCCCGTTCAGGAATGAGTTCTTTTAGTCAATTTTTTTATTTATTTATAGTTATTTTAATTTGATTACAAAAATTTATTTGGAATAATGATTGAGTTTTTTGTAATTGATATGATAGTTGTAAGAGAAAAAAAAAAATTATAATTTGAATGTGACATTTTAACTTATTTTGTCTTATTGAATAATTTTTTTTTTTTTTGTCCTCATTAACTATTTTAACCACTAAATTTTGGCTTTATTACTTATTCTATTAGGTTGAAGTAACAACTTTGGTTTAGAAAGGGTGTTTGGCATGTGATTTTTTTGATTAAAATAATTAAAAAAATTAAAATATTCAATCGCATCACTATCTCTATATTTTGTACATTTTTTTTTTTTTTTGGTTGCGAAAGTATCAACTAAAATAGTCAATTCTCAAACGAGCTCTTAGTCAGATGAACAAGGTGAGTTCAGATGTACAGGGAAGGGAAGAAAAACTCCGCCTGGTAGCGGGAGTGAGGGACGAAATAGGGGTGGCGGGGGCGGGGGCGGTAATAACAAATCCGACAAAAAATGAAAGTAAAATATTTGGTGTGACATTTATTTTCCTTAGTTGTGACATTTGGTGTGATAAAAAATGAAAGTAAAATATTTTTTATAATTAATGAAAAATAATTTATTTGAGTTGAAAACATTATTCACTTTTTTAAAATAGAAAATATTTTTTAGACTACACACTGGCCAATCTTATCACACAACCATCATCACCATCACCTCTACCTCTACTGCCACCACCACCACCACCACCATCACTTTCATTACCACCTCCACCACTCCACTACTATCCCATTATCACCACACCAACCCAATAGCTAAAACCATTAATATATTAGTTTTAAGATCACAACCAAACATGTTTGTTTGGATGTTTGATTTTAGCTAAAATAGTTAGTGAAGACAAAACAAAAATTAAAATAATGAGTAAGGCAAAATGTTATATCCTACACATCAATCAATTATTTTTTCTCTTCCAACCATATATTCAACTACAAAAAAACCTGCAAATCATCCCAAACACACCTTTTTTCATCTCATAAAATAGTCAAAAGCTACTAAAATAACCAAGTTCCCAAACAAGCACTCTGTTTGATTTCGATTTTTCAAATACAGTTTTTAAAATTTTTAGTTATTTATATTTCATATTTTGTTGTCTAAAATGAACCTTTTTTATATTTTAATCAATTTTGTTTTATAAATATTTTTGGATACCCCTAAAAGTAAAATATTTGTGAATAAATTTAAATATTTGTGAATATTTTTATGTTTCAACTACATCTAAGTTAGATACATCAAACAAATTTTTTTTTTTTTTGAAAAAAAAAAAAGTGATTAAAAGAATAAAAATGGAGATTTATACAAAAGGACTTAACATTATTTTAAGGTATGATTAAAATTTAGGTTGAAATACCAAATTAAAGTAGACTAAAAAAAAGGAGCATACATGAAACATCAATAAGTTTTTGAAAAAACTAAAAAAGAGACATTTTACATGATGTTGTTCATTACATCAATAAGAAGATTTATACAAAAGGACTTAATTAAAACTGCAGTGGCATTATTCAACTTCTACGAGCCTTCTCTCTCGAGTTTTGTTCTTTCACCCATATTACTACTCTAGACTTCAAAACTACAGTTACATCATGAATAATTGAATGGCTGCAGAACGCTGGGACAGTGTCTGCAGAAAAATATCCTTCGCGCGCGCGCACACTCACACAGAGATGATCGGAACTTTATTTCTCATGAACAAGAGGGCTGTAAACTGGATACCACATGTTGCGCTTGACATATTCTCCTCCTGCATCCAAAATGAGAAAAGCCATAGATTATTAGCAACAGTGGCGGCTCCAGGAATCAATGATTAAGTTCTACAAATTCTATGAGGAATTTTTTTTCACTCTTATCAATATTATATATAACATTTGTTTTCTATAAATTTTAGTGCATTCATACTATTCTTTTTGTTAAAAAAAATGTAATTACAAAAATTTCTACAGTTCCTCTCAATGAATTTCCTTACTTCGGTTGGAGAAATTTGAAGGATATTTGGTGATTGGTGGAGTGGACTCACTGAATTCGTTTTTGAACTTAGAGAAATCTAGTCATTTTTGGGACTTGAACAAATATAGAGATGACCTAAAATTTTTTTGAAGGTATGATACTCTATGCTAAGTGCAATAAGGTCTTCTTTTTTTTTATAAGTTAATAGGGTCAATATTATCCATATATGATATATATATATATAAATTTTTTCAATGATTTTTCAAATTTTAGTGGCGTCAATTGACTCATACCAATGTATGTGGTGCGACTTATGGGTGCAACAAACAAATGTATTTTATTTTATTGGCACTGTGGTATCCGGATCAAAATCTGACTAATCCCCAGGAGTGCACAAGTGCTCAGCAAGGAGTTTCCCGCAAGTATACAAAGCCCCAAGGAATTGTTAGCACCTAAGAGGTTTCGGTGGTGCTATACGCACCAATTGGAATACTAATTAACGTACCAACATAGTTATGACATTGTCATTTAAAAATTACGACTCCACCCATTATATAAATTAAAAAGACTTAAAGTCTCTAAAATTATGATACATCATCCGTTAGTATACGAATTAGTATACCAATTGGTTCATATAGTATTATTCAAGAGGATGTGATTCTTGAATCTTAGAGGGAGCACATTCCCATAATTCAAGGCCTTGCCACCAAGCCAACCTCTTGGGGTTTAAAACAAACAAATGTATTGGTGCAACCAACAAAGTAATCGGTGCAAATAGACAAAATAAATATTTAAAATATATTTTAAAGCAAATTTTCAAAATTGGCAGATGGGGTCAATTAACCCCATACTCTATAGCCTAGAGCCGTCCCTAATTAACAATGAGAATAACTGAATACCTAACTCGCTTAGTTGAGTTGAGTTTAGTCTTTCTGAATTGGTTTTCATTTTGAGGTTAAATGTGAGGTTGCTTTCATTGTGAAATATTAAAGCTTTTTTTCTCATCCAGATGTGCTTGTGCGTGTCATGCCATGACTATTTTTGTAAAAAAGAGATGCATTTTTCTTGTAAGAAAGTCGAGAACTACCTGAGCTCTCTGGGTCCCACATCACAGCGTCCTTCTGCCAGTTCTTCGGCAACTGCTGCTAAAACAACAGCAGCTCTAACCTCTGCTGCTATATCTTGAATACTGCAATCATAAGTAGGTCATAGCAAAAACAAATGAGTAGAGGTTACTTTACCTTTATTTTACTAATTCATTCATAGGATGTCCCCAAATGGAGAAATATTTTCTTTGCAAATTTTACAAGACCTGGTTAGGGATATATGATGAGTAGATCCAATCATCCGACCCATGAAATCAGAGGTCAGATTTGTTAATTATGAATACTTCAAATAAAGAGAAAAGAAAACTTGATTGTAGTATTAGCCATACAGTCAAAACAAGGCTTTGTGAGGTTCACACACTCCACAAGGTCAGAGTCAGATCCAATATCAGTAGGTATGTAGTCTTTGCATAATGCAAACAAACCTGATTAGTGATTATTGATCGTGCTTTAACAAGCTATATCCAAAACCTATTGACAACAGAACGACTTTTCGTGCTGCTATTAGGTGTGCACACTTAAGGTAATAGGTTGAACCTTACCCACTAGAAGAAAATACAAGTATATGAGCTAGCTATGAAGCACCGACACATCAGAATAGGTGCAATAGCCGTGTTAGATATGTACGGGATAAGGACATGGACATGGACATGGACGTGGTGAGGACACATATGGGATATGCCACATGACGTGTCCATTTTTATAACAATTTTTTCAGTAACAAGTGCCACCTCATTTCATGAGGGCACAGTCAACAATCCAATAAGAATTGATAAGCACGACACTAATCCATAAAAGGCTATGTTAGAGCAAACAACAAAGTGGTCAAATTGTGTAATTTATACCATTCAGAAGTTGCTTCCGACATTTCATCTGAAATCAAACAAGCACTTGAGAGAAGAACTCCCATCCCAATCTTGAATCAAGCCAAAAAGGTTTACTATAGTAGTCATAAAAAACTAAGCACAATATATCAATGACATGAACATTTGAACGTTAGCACTAACCCAGGAAACAAATACATGTTATTTGTTTGATTTAAATAACCCACTTTTCCATTCCTTGACAACAAGTATATGATTGGCTTGGACAACACACTGAGGAAGACAGGTATATAGAAACTATAGAACTGTTGGTTGCATTAGCTACATAATGAGAGAGCAGAGTGAGACCAATTAATTTATTGATACTGTGCAAAAACACTTCACAACAATTAGCACCAATATAAAGAAACCATACCAAGGTTAACATTTTTGAAAGGGCTCCCGCTTGGAAAAACTATATTTTCTTCAGCATGATTGAAAGCATCAACAGCAGTGCATTTAGCTGTTCCAGTTAACATGGAAAGACGATGTTCAATAGAGAAATAGAGCATTCCACAAATAAAATACAGATAATTTAGAAGGCTTGAAAGACGAACCATTCATTGTCAGATTTGACATTGCAAAAATGGAAGGTTTAGGGGAATCTGACTCTCACGTGACCTTAAGCACCTGATTTATCAAAGAAGACAAACACTTTACCAAGCTCAGAAAGAGGATACACGCTGCCATTGTTGTGCTTAGTTCCCTGCAGCTAGACACTAAGTGGAGAACGGTTTTTCAAACATAGCCAGCCAAAGTTACTTATCAAGTAATAGGTATTTCAGAACGAGATCTACCTATAAAGTAATGGTATTTAATTACGAAAAAAGCCAAAATTGTGCATGGAAGGATTAGTAAATTGAGGAAAAAACACCCATAAAAGTAGAGTAAACAAAGTGTCATTAAACACGAGGATAATTAAAAAAGAATGAGGGTTGATGCAGTAACAAAGAATGTAATTGCCATGGATTTAACTGAGGTATTTCTCTATAGAGAGCATTTTGGGAAAATATTCATGTAGTCAATTCCAAGAGGTTGAAATTAGGTCTTTGTTGAGTTAAGTCAAGCGGATTTAACTAATAGTGATGACAGCAAATGACATCTTGATGAGGTATGCTCCTTTATCCTAATAATAAATAATTGTGAGTTTTTTTTGTAAGAATTGGGTTATTTAGTGGAAGTTGGGAAAAAATAAAATGATAATACGGTTAATGAAGACCATCTCTAAAAGGTATTGCATACATCTAGGAAACAACTAACCAAATAAATTGTACAGAACAACAAGCCTTTCCAAATAAAACTAAGCCAACTTCACTGGTTCATTATGCTTCATTTGAAAGTAACGAAGGACAAAGCAAACTTAAGGGGCTGCCCACCTACTCACTGAAGACACTGCCAACTCCAGTCAAACCAAGAAGTACATGAGGCTTGACTTTTTTAACCTAAACAAAATCCATTCCCCGCAATTAGTTTTTCTAAATTATGAAAGCATACACAATGTTCTGAAAGATAACAGCAAACATCCTTGAGCGAATGGCATGTACCCAAGAAGCAAGCTAAACAACCAAAGGTTTATTTTCCACACAATATCAATCTATATCAGCCTTGAATCAACATAGGCTGCCAAAAAACACTCCCATAAGATTTACCACTTCAACGAGGTTTGCTCCCTCCCTAAGTCCCAAACCCTCGATCTCCCCAGGGGCTTTAGCAAATGGTGCAGCTGCTGGATCAACACCCTTCCTTGCTTTGTAATGAGACCCTGCATGTAAACCAGTACTTCTCAAAAAAAGATGAACCAAAAATCAAATGGATGATTCCTCGAAAATGTAAATGAAACAATAAAGTTCAGATTGCCATATTATGAGTTTTTCTTCTCATTCCAATGCAGATTCATTCCCACAATTCATTCAGTTACATGCAAATAAGTAATTGATTGTCATTACTTTGAAAAAAAAAGTGAAATTTAGTCGATAACACTAAAAATAAAAAATAAAAAAATCTCCTTTACAAATATGTTCAAACATATGTTCTCCACATTTTATTACAAGATAAATACCCAGTAACACATAATAAAGGCTAATACGGTAATTGACATTAAGAACAAAAAAATTGGAGAGCAAGTAATATCTATAGAACCACACATCTTTATCAAGTAGGAAAAACAGAGGACTTGCTTCTGCTCCTGCCATTCTTGAAACAGCCTGTGCAGCCATGTTAAAAACACCAAGCCCTGCACTAAAAGACAGAAAAAAGAATAAGAAGATGCAACTCACAGCTGATATTACCAACCACCCTAAACCATAAAGAAGTAACACTAAACCAGGAGTACAACCATTACAGTTGAACTTTATCAGTACCTTCCAGCTCCAACTACAACTATCTTTTGGTTCACAAAGTCAGTCAATGGTCGACCTAGTGCCCTTATGGTTCCAAGCAGTCCTGCCAGTGCAACACCAGCAGTTCCCTATACAACATGATGACAAGCGACAAAAATGTCATTATAGTAGAGTCACCCTTAACAATCTTAAAGTACTTTTGTCTTATTATATTCTTTACTATTTCCATGGAGAATAGCAGAATACAACACCAAGTATTCACCTGCATGTCATCATTGAACATGCAGAACCTTTTTTGATACCATTGCAGTCTTTCGAAAGCCCACTTCATTTGAAAATCCTCAAACTAATAATATTCGCCAAGCATCAAGTAATCAGTATGATATTGGTTACACATCAAACAAGATGTCATATTTCTGAAAGAAGTAAACTTGCACAATAGCCTTGGGCCAACGGGCGTGAATTGCCTCCATAAATTCATCAACAATTGGTAGATACTCCTCTCCTTCCAACTGAGGTTGCCGAAGTCCCAAATCTGTCAAAGTAAAATCAAGTGAAAAATAAATCCTCATGAAGTTTGTTGGAAAAAATGGGTTCACAACAGTTACGTAGTCTACTTACTCTGCGTAAAGACTAGAAAATATGGAGAATGAAATAGAGTATATTCAGCATAAATGAATGCTAAGAATGGATAAACATGAATGAACTTCAATGTTTAAAATTGTTGGAAGTCCAACCTAAGGTGTTAGTAATAAAATTTAACAAGGGAAATCCTACTTCATACAAGTAAATAGTCACTATTTTCAAATCTGAGAGGTTCATGATGTCTTTCTTACAAAATGAGAAAAATATGAAAATAATTGACAAGAAACAATTGTAAACAAGAAAAGATTAGACTTGAAACCTTTGTGATGATGGAATTTAAATGGAAATCAATATTACAGCACATGGAAGTATAGCCTTTTTATACAACTCCATTTATTTTATTTTATTTTTTTGATAAATAATATACAACTCCATTTGAATGATAATAATTTGGTTGTAATAACTAGACACTCTTGGGCTTTATATGTATAGTTAGATGACCACATGATTGTTTCCATATTTCCATGGTTTCTATTTCCAGTGCATTTTTTTTCTAGTTTGTTTAGGTAAGGTCATCCCAAAAAACAAATATATATATGCAGGTACATATCTAATGAGGTGATTCTTATTTACATCTCTAGTTTCATTAGACTTTAACTTCAAGTTCTGTTGGATCTAAATCTGAATTCACACCATAAAGGGTAATATTAAATAATTAAATCTTAGAAGTTTTATCCATGTTAAAGTTGATTCTAAGTATTAATTATGATTATCTTTCGAAAGCACCTTTGGATCTGCAATTAGCACCCTCAACAAAATGAAGTGCTTAATTCTATTAGGATTCAATGTCTTCTAGTCGAATTTAAGCTAAGAGAAATGAAAAATATACAAAGTGCTACATCCACTTTAATATTAGTTTGATTATATAATCTTTTTCAAAAAATTTGTATTGTTGCTTTCATTAGCAAGGACTCTAGCAGTTCTGCCAAAACCCATTTCAGAGTCACTAAATATTCCTACATCATAATTTTTAATATAAATTCACACTACGACAGTCAAATATGGCCTAGGGCAGCTGACGATCAAATTTTGAGTAATTTTCGGGATGCATTAGATCAATCCATATTTTTCTATCGCTTAATAAACAAAAAAGATCCTATGCTATTCCAGTCACTTTGTCTCAAGTACATTACTCAATTAGGGTAATTTTATTTATGTATATTACATAATCAGCACCAATGAAGCTTTATAGTCTAATTATCATAGTTCATTTGCATAGTACCCTCAAAAGATGACAACAAATACTTGTCCAGGCTCACAGCAACTTCATTTGACAAGAATATTCCATTGAGAAGATTTTTCTTAGTTTCTTGGAGTTCTCAGAATGATCAGATATGAACATGTATATCTCCATCAGCAAAACACTTCAATTGTATAAGGTAGATAATATTAAATGTACAAGGGAACAAGCATGTTGCTTAAAACATGTGTATATTGAAGAAGATATGAATTACTTTTTCATTAACATCAAAGAGTATACAACCTCTGTTTATATACATCAGTAAAGTAAACAATAACCATCTAAATCTATTCTATATCTAATACACTCTAACTGATTTAGTTACACCAACAGATTATGGTTTTGTTATGCTACAACACAGTCGGCTCAGGTCTGGTGGACTCCTCACTTGATTGCATAACTCTATTAGGCCCCCTCAATCGAAGAGGAGAGGGACGAACCATGAGCTTGGCCTGGAGAAAAGAAAACCTGGCTGTGGTCAAGGGCTTAGTAAGAATGTCAGCAATTTGATCAACAGAAGAGACATGTTTAACCACCACAAGTTTAGCAGCAACTTGCTCATGGATGTAATGTTAATCCACAGCAATATGCTTGGACCGAGCATTTGGAAGAGGTAATAACTCAATACAACATGAAAATTGATTTTTATAGTAAGAATGTCAGCAATTTGATCAACAGAAGAGACATGTTTAACCACCACAAGTTTAGCAGCAACTTGCTCATGGGTGTAATGTTAATCCACAGCAATATGCTTGGACCGAGCATGAAAAACTGGATTGGAGGCAAGGGAAAGAACCGAAAGATTGTCACACCAAAGAGTTGGAGGAGGAGAAGGAAGATGCAACTCCTGAATGAGCATGCGAAGCCAAGCCAACTCTGCAGCAGCCTGAGCAAGAGCTCGATATTCTGCTTAGGCGGAGGAACGCGAGACTGTGCATTGCTTCTTGGTAGTCCAAGAAACAAGATTAGAACCAAGAAAAACACAGTAGCCAGTGGTAGACTTGCAATCTATAACACTCCCAGCCCAATCGGAATCAGAGTAGGCATGAAGATCCAAAGAACTAGCAGAAAATTGCAAGCCATGGTGCAAGGTTTCTTGAAGATACCGCAACAGTCGTTTGACAGCATTGAAATGGGCCACTGTGGGTGAATGCATAAACTGGCAAGCATGATTGACAGCAAAAGAGAGATCAGGCCTAGTGATTGTATGATACTGTAAAGCTCCAACCACACTGTGGTAAAGATTAGGCTGAGAGAAAGGGATCATAGTGTCATCAGTAGGAGAAGGTTTAGTTGCCATGGGAGAAACATAGGATTTACAATTAGTCATGCCAGCTTTGGCAAGAATTTCCGTAGCATACTTGTGTTGAGAGAGAAACAATCCTTCAGAAGTGGAGTGAATGGATATGCCAAGAAAATAAGAAATATCACCCAACTCTTTCATAGAGAAGGCAGAGTGCATATGCTAAATTAAAGAGGTAATTTGCCGAGAATCACTACCAGCAATAAGGATGTCATCCACATAGACTAATAACAAGGTAACGGATGTGGGAGTATGATGTATGAAGAGAGAAGAATCACATTTGCTGTTAAAAAAACCAGAGGAGAGCAGAAAAGAAGAAAAGGTTGAATACCAAGCTCGAGGAGCTTGTTTGAGACCATATAAGGCTTTACTCAACTTGCACACACGAGAGGGAAAACTAGAGTGTTCAAAGCCTGGAGGTTGAACCATGTACACCTCTTCTTCAAGGACACCATGCAAAAGATATCCAATTGTTTGATTTGCCAATTAAAATGAAGGGCAAAACTTAAAAAGACTCGGATGGTAGGTTGCTTAGCCACAGGACTGAAAGTCTCATGATAATCAATTCCTTTTTGTAAATAACCATTAGCAACAAGGCGAGCTTTATGACGAGCAACTGTGCCATCAGAATTTTTCTTAAGGCGGAAAACACATTAACAGCCAATAGCATGTTTATGTAAAGGAAGCAGGACCAAAGTCCAAGTCTTCTGATTATGCAAAGCCTGAAATTCCTCGTTCATAGCTTGAGTCCATTCTAGAGTCTGAAGAGCCTCAGTGTGAGAAGTAGGTTCAACAAGAGAGAGATCAGGAGAAGCCATAGAAGAAGTAAAAAGAGAGAAGTGAGATGCTTTAGATCTAGTAAACATAGGATGTTTATTAAGAGAAGGAGAAGGAACATGGGATGGGCCTGAACCAGAGAAGGCACTGAGATTAATAAAAAGAGAGCCAATAGGAATGGAAGAAGAAGAAGGAACTGGAACAGAAGGTTGAATAGCAGCTGCTGAGGGAGATACAGAAGCATGTGCAGGACCTACAGGAGAGAGTAGAGCAGGCACAGGAGAAATAGCAGAAGACACTGCTGCAGAAAGAGCAGGACAGACTGTTGCAGAAGTAGCAGGACAGATTGCTGGGTTTATAGGAGAGACGACAGCAGGCACAGGGCTAGAGAGTGGGTTAGAACCAGAACCCAAGGCAGGCAGAGGCAAAAAAAACTGAGAAGGGCTAGGAACAGTAGGAGACTGAGCTGCAGGAACAGGAGGAGATTGAACTGACTGAGATGAACTAGGATGAGACTGAGCTGACTGAGCTGGACTAGGAACAGATTTAGAGGACCAAAAGAAAGAATACAGCTGGGAAAAAGAAGGCATAGAACTAGTGGAAAGAGAAGATGGCACATGAGAGACTAGAGGAAATAAGGTTTCATCAAAGACAACATGTCTTGATACATAAATTTTACCTGTAATAGGATCCAGACATCTATAACCTTTGATAGATGGATGATAGCCAATGAAGATACAAGGTATGGAATTGGGTTGTAGTTTATGAGAGTTGTATGGCTTGACCCAAGGAAAACACCTACAACCAAAACTTTTGAAAAAAGTAAAATCTGGAACATGCTGAAACAAAATCTCAAAAGAGTTCTATTTTGCAATTTGGAACTTGGTAGTCGATTAACAAGAAAAACAGATGTAGCCAAGGCATCAAGCCAATAAGACAATGGAAGAGCTTATTGATGAAGAAGAGCAATAGTAGTACTGATAAGATGTCTATGTTTCCTCTCTGCAACTCCATTTTGAGGAGGAGTGTGAGAACAAGAAAGCTGATGCATAATGCCATGATTTTTAAGAAAGGATTCAAATTAATTAGTAGTGAACTCACCACCACCATCAGTTTTGAAAATTTTAAGAGTAGTTTCAAATTGAGTTTCAACAAACACTTTAAACTCTTGAAATTTAGAGAACACCTCACTTTTGTAGCACAAAGGATAGATCCAAGTGAATTTACTAAAATCATCAATAAAAAGAACATAGTATTTAATAGGAGAAGAAGAAGCAGAGAAAGGTCCCCAAACATCACTATGAATGAGAGATAATGGTTTATTCACAATAGAATTAGACAAATTGAAAGGCAATCTATGACTCTTGGCCACAGCCCAATGAGTACACAAATTAGTATTATTATATGATGGCAAAATAATCATAGATATTGAGAAAGCGGACAACCAAATGAAGGAGATGCATGAAACTTCAATTAGCACAAAGCAACTTCACCTCTCCTCTCTGCATGTGTGGAGAGAGAGAGAGAGAGAGAGAGAGAGAGAGGCATCCAGTATTGCAGTATCAAGGCCTATTACAGTCTGTAAGAGAGATAATAATCAATTATGTTAAAGAGCAAGAGATCTGATTGAATATATTCAGTCCCAAAAATGCAGCCTTTAAACTTCTATGAAGTATGAAATAATTGAAAAAATAAAATATTAAATAATGACAAGGAACCACTGAACATAAAATAAACAGCACAAAGTCAATAGAAAGACGGTCTTCAAGAAGCTTTTGATTGTTGGTACCAACATCAAGCATAATTGGAAGTATCTGTCATAGATGAATGCAGCTAGATTGATATAGTGCCAAGCAGAATGAAAGGGTAAACAGTTAGTCCAAAACTGGATATATAATATAAGATAATAAATATCATAGTTACTAGTATCTTTGAGATCAGGTGGACAAGAAATTACTGTCAGTTCTCCACGCATCTAACCTTCTTTCTCATATATATGCACTTTCATCAATATAATATCCACATTGATGAAAAATAGCCAATAGAAATATGTTTTGCAAAGCATGAAAAAATAACAACATAACCAACATATAAACAAGCATAGGTAACCTTCAATACGCATGATACATGCAATAACAATGTGCTATGATCCATATCAAGCATGGTAAGTATCTATGAGTCAGCCCAGTACTAAATGTGTGTATTTACTTGTCAGTGTGCACAAGTGTTTATGCATTGACGCACACTTGTATACCAAATTTATTTTAGTGTACACCTGTTTGTGCTATGCCTACATGAACTTGCACCTAATAAAGAGTGATGAGTAGAGCATACTCTCTGTGGATTGATTCCAGCAGCAGCGACATACATATCAACTTTTCCAATGGGTGTTCCAATTCCCTGGACCCCAAGATCACCTAGACCAAGAATGCGACTGCCATCAGTCAGGACAATCATGACAACCAGCAATACAGAAGAAGCCATATACCCATGATATGTCAAGGGCAATGATGAACATAACCTTTAAGCTGCAAGGAGTGCTAAACCAATTTTCTTTTCTAAGCTAGCAAATGTGCTCATTTTTTAATGTATATATTCATTATTCACAGCAAACATAATGCTACACTGAACACATTTTCATACCTTGCTTTGTTTACCATCTGATCCGGTACAAGTACAAAGCACTCTTAATGTATCACCAACAAGTAGGTAAAAGCAAAAAAGAGAACAAAACTGTACATCAATGCATTTTATATTTCCAAAATACCAGATGACCAGGCCAGTTATAGATCATGGACATCATCTCTCCTTTATCTTTTGCACTGAAGTACATTCCCCATGGGTGTCTGAACAACCCTGAATAGTTTTGGCAAACCAATCCTACTGTAGGAGTATATATTATTGGAGCAAGATCTTCAATGTTATCAATAAGGACATGGAGAGAAAAGCAACAGCAATGCGTCATTGCTTCAAATTATTTCTCTCTACCTAAAGAGAAATTATAATTAATTCTTAAATCACTTGTTTTTTACAAGCTGACAATTGCCACCAAACTTACTCGGCAGTATAAAGTCTAATTCCTATCATGCAGTCTTGTTTTTTTACAAGCTGACAATTGCCACCAAACTTACTTGGTAGTATAAAGTCTCATTCCTATCATGCAGTCAATTCAAGATCCTCCATTTTGCTGAGGACACAAAACTATCATCTTGGCCTTGAGTATTTTTTTCAACTAGAAGAAGAAGGGGGGGCTATCATCTTGGCCTTGAGTATTTTTTTCAAGTAGAAGAAGAAGGGGGGTAGGGGTAGGGGTGGGGGGTCTGTGGGATATGGAGAGATCTCATCAAAGGTTACTAGGGGTTGGGGTATACAAATAGTATTAAAAAAAAATTCCACTATCTCAAATTTTATTTATTAATTTTTATGAGAGCTCTACCTAAGAGGTGTCCTAACTCTAATAATAAACTTAAACTACAAACACAAGTTGCATGGTCACAGACAACTTTATTTTAATCTGTGTATTTTTCTTTACTTCAGTAATCAATCTAACCATGGTGTGTTCTCGGCACGCTTGGATTCAATTGTAAGAGCGACTACCTGATATAAATTAGAAAGAGCACACCTAAGAAAAGTTTGAAATTTTATTTATTAATTTTTATGAGAGCTCTACCTACGAGGTGTCCTAACTCTAATAATAAACTTAAACTACAAACACAAGTTGCATGGTCACAGACAACTTTATTTTCATCTGTGTATTCTTCTTTACTTCAGTAATCAATCTAACCATGGTGTGTTCTCGGCACGCTTGGATTCAATTGTAAGAGCGACTACCTGATATAAATTAGAAAGAGCACACCTAAGAAAAGTTTGAAATTTTATTTATTAATTTTTATGAGAGCTCTACCTAAGAGGTGTCCTAACTCTAATAATAAACTTAAACTACAAACACAAGTTGCATGGTCACAGACAACTTTATTTTCATCTGTGTATTCTTCTTTACTTCAGTAATCAATCTAACCATGGTGTGTTCTCGGCACGCTTGGATTCAATTGTAAGAGCGACTACCTGATATAAATTAGAAAGAGCACACCTGAGAAAAGTCTGAAACCATACAGCATGCCAAGTTTGAAAACAATCTACTCCTCACCAGCCAAGATTAAGCAGCTAGAACTATGCTTAAGAATTTGGACAGTCAGATATATTACTTGATTTGGCTTATCTACACCTTCACTATAGATTCAAGGTGTACATGTCAAGTGCTATGACTCAGACATAATGCACCAAACATCAACATAATGTATACTCTTCTTCCCACAAAATTACGACCTTAAATTTCATTTCCAAGGTATTTTATTTTTGCGTGTTCCATTAGTTAACAATTCATTGTTTACTAAAACCATAGAAAAGAAACCAATTAATATAGATAGAAATAATACTGCATTTACATTTTAAAGATCTATTTCAAGACTCCAGTTGAGATGAAAAAATCTCTTTGCTAGAACTAAAGGAATACAAGACTGGCACATTAGTTTTTTCAAGACTTCTCTGCTGCATTTTTCACCTCTATTTTTTCAAATTAATCTATGATCCTTCCTCCATTTAGTAAGACATAGATTAATCAATAGTCATTAATAAAAATGTTAATTCAACTCATTTATTTTGGAAGAGAGGAATTATAAGCGTTAAATGGTGTGTTTCAAGGCCTACACCTAATACATTATGAGATCCCATGGAGACAATGTAAATTCCATCGTTGCAGCTGCATCAAATATTCTTGGTCCATCGCAAAAAAAGGCCATCAAATTAAGTTTAAGAGCTAAAATCTAGCACTTCATAGAATGTTTGAATGAAGTACAAGATCATTTTTGCCGACCTAAAAGCAAGATAAACTATAAAAGCCAAAACAGTAAGAGCGACTACCTGATATAAATTAGAAAGAGCACACCTAAGAAAAGTCTGAAATTTTATTTATTAATTTTTATGAGAGCTCTACCTACGAGGTGTCCTAACTCTAATAATAAACTTAAACTACAAACACAAGTTGCATGGTCACAGACAACTTTATTTTCATCTGTGTATTCTTCTTTACTTCAGTAATCAATCTAACCATGGTGTGTTCTCGGCACGCTTGGATTCAATTGTAAGAGCGACTACCTGATATAAATTAGAAAGAGCACACCTAAGAAAAGTCTGGAACCATACAGCATGACAAGTTTGAAAACAATCTACTCCTCACCAGCCAAGGTTAAGCAGCTAGAAGTATGCTTAAGAATTTGGACAGCAAGATATATTGTTTGATTTGGCTTATTTACACCTTCACTAAATATTCAAGGTGTACATGTCAAGTGCTATGACTCAGACATAATGCACCAAACATCTATACTCTCCTTCCCACAAAATTACGACCTTAAATTTCATTTCCAAGGTATTTTATTTTTTCATGTTCCATTGATTAGCAATTCAAAGTTTACTGAAACCATAGAAAAGAAACCAATTAATATAGATAGAAGTAATATTGTATTTACATTTTAAAGATTTGTTTCAAGACTCCAGTTGAGACGGAAAAATCTCCTTGCTAGAACTAAAGGAATACAAGACCTTTTACTGGCACATTAGTTTTTTCAAGACTTCTCTGCTGCATTTTTCACCTCTATTTTTTCAAATTAATCTATGATCCTTCCTCCATTTAGTAATACATAGATTAATCAATAGTCATTAATAAAAATGTTAATTCAACTCATTTATTTTGGAAGAGAGGAATTATAAGCGTTAAATGGTGTGTTTCAAGGCCTACACCTAATACATTATGAGATCCCATGGAGACAATGTAAATTCCATCGTTGCAGCTGCATCAAATATTCTTGGTCCATCGCAAAAAAAGGCCATCAAATTAAGCTTAAGAGCTGAAATCTAGCACTTCATAGAATGTTTGAATGAAGTACAAGATCATTTTTGCCGACCTAAAAGCAAGATAAACTATAAAGCCAAAACACATGGAGCACGAAAAGTGACTTGTTTGGACTCGGAAGCTTTTGCAAGCTGCATGATGTCCCCATAGGAATGAGATGTTTGTACAGTTATAGTAACCAATCAAGACTCAGCAACAATCCAAGACCAGACTAGAGATATGTTGTCCTGCAAACCAAACAAGTCAAGTGTTAGTTTAGCTTGTTGTAACAGAGTGAGTTAGGTAGATATTTTCGTTAGATATTTTGTAAACATGTGGAGTGTATATAACGTACTGTATCTCTGAGTTTTCAATTTAATGAAAGTCATTCAGTTTCAATAACTTCTTCATGTGTAACACTAAGAGAGGTAGCTATAGCATGGCTAGTCTGCATATATCCATCAGGGATGAATTGATAGATTAAAAACTCAATATCTACAAATAACTTAGAGAGAATGATATATATACTCAAGGCAGCTCAACTGGCAAATCAAGACAAATCCAAAATGGAGTGTGCTGTTAGATAATCATCAAGTTCACAAAAATAGGATTCTTCTCCATATTAGTTCTAAGAATCAACCATTGCGGAGCCAAAAATGCCCATTAAACAATTCACCACTAATATCAACCTTCAATTATACATAATGTACACTGATAAACTAGTGTAATACACAAAATTGGATCAAGTAATTTATAGTTACCAAATTACAAATACCATAATGAAAGCAAAAACCACAATAGTTAATTTTTACAAAAATCTACTAAATGACCGCTGGCATTACTAATACTAAAATTCCATAAATGCTAATAAGGTTAAACAATTGATTCCATAAATCATAAATGTATAATATTTCCCTTCACTAAAATTTTGAACAAATTTAATTCAGATATATCCTTTGAACATAAGGTTTGTTTAGTTAATTAAGTTGAAGAAAACAACACCCACTGTGTTTGTTGACAATTCCTTTTTAATGCCACAAGTTCTCCTCTCTTTTTTCCCCTTTTTTAAATATAAGTACAAATCCTCTCCTAAACTGTCACATAATGCCATAATCATCTCCTTGGACATTGGATAATAGTGATGTATAAGGTAGGTAACACGTGAACATCTACAAAAGAATTCAAAGAAAGAAGAAAATGAAAAAGAATAACTAAAATATTAGAAGGAAAAAAAGGGTAACATGATTATATATTAATCTCTATGCTTTATGAAATTAGTTCATATTTTTTAGTGTACAAGATTGACCTCATTTAAAATAAAATTTTCAAAAAGTCTGAATAATAATTTCAGATTTACAAATTTCTAGTGGGGTCACTTGACCCAACTTTGTTATACATGGCTCGGCCCCTAAGAATAAGGCAATACACCAACAGCTACTAAAAGAATACAAAAGGGACAAATTTCCCAAACTAAAGACAAACAATAGGAAACTATTCCTCCAATTGTAATAAGTTAACATAGTGCACATAGAAGACACGAGGGCTGTTGCATGTGCAGTTACACCCAATTTTAATAGGTACCATATGCCATTTGTTTGGAACCAAATAACATGAAAAACATAGACAACACATGAACGAAAAACTTTTTGACATGGATTTATCTTTAATATATATGAGGAACAAAATTTTCGTTTGTTTCCATTGAAATGGCCAAAATGTTGCCATTTCCCAAGAGACCGAGACGAAACACTAATGGAATAATAAAATTCTAGTGTTTTCATTGAAACGCATCAAAACATAGTGAAACACACCCAAACATAGTGTGATTTACAGAAAGAGTAAATTGTATCTATACAAATTTAGAAATTTTCATAAACATTTATTACTGCTGCTTAAGTAAATTTTTAGACCTTATTGGAAGCTTTTGTTTCATAAAATTGAGTTATTTAACAATACTTAATAATTTTTAGTTCATAGTAACATTAGTTTTTTAATTCTTTTACGTGAATGACTATATGAATCTCAATTTGTTTAATTAATCAATTATTAGGCTTTCATACATTTAGATATATTTCGATTTATATTTTCAAACATTTCTATTTTATCTTTATTTCATAAAATATTTCCGAGATGTTTTTGTTTCTGTACCATTTGAAGCAACACACTGAAATGAAATTTTGATCTTTGTATATATATATATATATTGTTATTTGAAATCCAAAGACCAGGAATCATTAATTTGTTGATTCTTTGAGCACACATGCGAAAAAAAAGGACAGGCTCCCACACACAAATGCAGTAGACATAATATCACACAAATTCAATTACAATATTTTTATGGTGTGTTAAACATCCATTGGTTCTGAATTGCTCAAGGAGATTAAGCATATGAAATACAAAACACGCTAACAATATACAAAAAATTAACAAATTGTATATAATGTCCCCATTAAAAACTTTGACGTATAAGAATACACTTAATATTAAAATATCAACTAAAGCTAACAAGGTAGCAACGATTAATCAAATAATGTCGATTCACCCTCTGAGCAAAATGGGTAGCATTTTCCTACTAATTTTCAAGGAGTAAAACAACAGGAAGATACTCGACCTATACAATTTAATAAATGACTTCATTCAACTTTTTACAACATACTAGTTATCCAGTAACCAAAATTCAAATTATAATATAGTCAAGGATACATCATATAAATGCATGTACATTTAAGCTGATGAATAATCAGTATTGATGATCTGCGAGAGAGAGTTAGTTATCAAAAGAAAAATAGCAAATTGGGGAATCACTATAACAACCTATATATATGAATTGCCACCTCATACAACATACTACCCAAAAATTTTACAAACAAAAATAGTAGGGGAAGCCAAGCTCACTACATTTTCACTATATGCAACTATAGATAAATAAAAAATCACTCAACATACCTCCACGAAATTGTGAAACTATGAACATTCTAAACATGAGCTTTCCCAAAGCTATATTGCCCCTAAACAAAATGAAAGGCCATATGACGCAAGTTAGGTAAAGATATTACAAAAGAAAACACCAAAATGGTTTTAACTCAAGAAAATTCTTACCAGGATTGGTCAAAGTGCACATGGGGATAGCGAACAATCACTGGATGGACAGGATATCCAGGGACAAATGCACCAAGTTGGAAAGAAATGAGAATTCTTCCATTTGTTGTGGTTGCCTCGGAAATACAAGCAGACGAGGAAATCTATCAGAAGAAGCCTTTCTTTGTATTCAAATCCTTGAAAGCACATTTCTGTATCAAATAATCCCTCAGATATTGATAAAACTTAATACTCTAAATTTTTTTCATACAAAAAATGTAACAACTCCAGGTATACAATTAAAATTGCTTTTAGTTTCCAAATTTATTAAACAACTCACAAAAATGAAATTTGGACACCTGATATGCGTATAATTGTTTGTAGCTTTTAAGTTAGCTCTTACAACAGCAAAAAATTTGTTTAATTTTTCTAAGCATTTGCAAACTACTTACATCATAGCATTTCATTCTCTTTCATTTTTATTTTTTTTTAACATCACCCTCATTTGACCAGCCAAAAAATTCTCCCTTCAACAAGAATTTGTACCAGCTTAATCACAACAACTTAACAAATACAAAAATATTTTATTAATGACTAGCCCAGAAAACCCAAAACTAAGGTTTGGTTTTCATAATCAATTTTGAAAGATAATTTTTTTAAAATTTGTTTGGCTGTATATTCTACAAATAGTTTTTAGAAATTTAAAAATCCAAAACTCATTTAGTTTTTAGAACTAAAATAATTTTTAAGACTCTGTTTGGTTTTGGAGTTTTCAAAAAAAAATTTTAAGTTTCAATCTGTATTTTATTGTTTTTAGTAAACTTTTTAAGTATTTAATCAAGGTTTTTCAAGTTTTTAGATCCACTCAATCTAAATACACCTAAAACGTATAAAATTTATGAAAAAAATCATTAAAAAAATCACTAAATATTAATAAATATACAAATTTAATACATTTTTGTATGTATTTTGCATTTATTAAATTTTTTTTAAAGATTTTTTAATTTTTTTTTAAGTATATCTAGATTAGATGCATCTAAAAAATAAAACAAATTACCCAATATATTAAAAAAATACGAATTAAAAATTTTAAAACTATTTTTGAAAACTCCAAAACCAAACAAAATTTTAAAAATTATTTACTCATTCCATAATGGTCCTCTAAATTTAAATTTAACATATTTCTTTCATTATTTTAAAAAATATTTTTTATTAATTGAAAATACAAATTCATTTTATTTTAAATTTTTATATGAATTTGCAAATAACTTGCTCATCCAAAAAAGTTCAATTAACTTGAAAATATGAAATACTGCATACTGAAGCGATCCCTCATTCAAAAAAAAATTGAAAATCAATAAGCAAAAAGACATTGAAAATTAGCAATACTGGAAATCTTTACTATCAATTAGATTGTTTGATTAAGTTTTTTAAAATCTGTAAAAGTAAAAAAAATAAAAATGAAAAACACTTAATGTTTTTGATATGATTTTTTGTTTTTAAAATCTAAAAATATTTTTTAAATGTTTATATTTATAAAATTAGTTTATGTTTTGATACCTGGCAATTTGAGTGCTTGTAAAACTGCGGTGGGAATCTCCACAACAGAGCTTATCACTCATCAAAAACATTGAACTAAGTGGGGCCAATACTTGCCTTTCCCCTTTTCACACTTCCTTGTTAGTTTCCGACTTCCACCGATCCCCAATCTCTTAAGTGAGGGAGGCAGCCTTTGCACTGGTAAAGATTTGAGCCTAGGGCAACCAACGATGTCAAGTTGTTCAAGAGAGGCAAGGTTTTGAAACAACTTAGAAGATAGCTTCTCCAGATTTCGGAAACCCCCGATATGAAGATAGATCAGAGAGGTGGGCAGCAACTTCCCATCTATCGGAAAGCTGGACCCCGCTACACCTTCTTCTTCTTCTTCATCCTCTGCCACACTAATTGGGCCTTCAATCAACAGTGTTCTAAGAGAGGATAAACTGTGCAAACCAATCTTCTTGAAGTTGTTGTTCCA